GGGGGGGGCTGCCGTGGGTGAGGTACGAAATTGGTGGCCCTGTGGCAACACACCGTTCGTGGGAACGACAACATGGCTGGGAGGAAGAGGAAGGGGGAGTGGGAGGGCTCTAAGGAGCCGTTCAACCCCGTCAGCGAGGACGAGCAGCGCGAGGCAATTGGCCGGTGTTGTGTCTACAAGTACCTGACGAAGGGTCAGACACTGGAGAGTTGCAAGGGCAACTTCAAGATGAAGTGCAATTTCTGCGAAAGTGTTCTGAAGTGGTGATGAAAAATACGACTGTTGTTAACCTTCTCTCAGCACACAGGGGCTACCATCCTCACGGATGGGAGGAAGTCCCTGAACTCAGAGCCCATTGTGAACTTCCTGGCAGCAGGACAATCGGGCGCCTTCCTTTTCACGACGGTGCGCAGGGAAGGGGTTGACGCAGAGACAGCAGACGTCGTCTTGCAGCGGTGGAAGAAGGTGTTCAAAAAGTTCGGCGCGAAGAAGATCAACGCCATCTGCACGGACTCTGCATCAGTTTATGTCGCTGCTGGTAGAGCGCTTCACGACGATCCCGATCCGGATATCCGTCGCATCCCTTGGCTCCCTTGTTCTGTCCATTGCTGCAACTTGATGTTGTCAGACATGGTCAAGGATAAGACATGGGCCATCGAGTTGTTGACGAGGGCAAGGGCGGTTGTCCGATTCATTAGATCTCACGAATCGCCTCTCGCGTTGTTCAGGATTTACAGTGCCAGTACCGATCGCGAGACAAAGGGCCGGCCATGGAGGGGGGGCAGGAGTCAAAGCCCGACGCGACCGAGAGTTGTTGTACCCTTGCCAGACGCGATTTGCCTCTATGTACATCATGATGGAGAGGTTGCGCGACCGCAGGGTTCCACTGGAGACGAAGATGTTGGAGGGGGAGTGGGCGTGACTTCCATGGGAGAGGAAGCTGCTGGCGCAGGCCGGTTGGGTGCGCACGCAAGTGCGATGCGGGCTGTTTTGGGAGGAGATGGATGATCTTATCGACGTCTTCACCTCGGTCGTGCAGTTGTTGAGGATGTTAGATCAGGGGGGGTTGGTGATCTCGTGCATCTTCCGGTGGGTGACCCAACTGGCCGAGGAGATTCGGAAGTTGGAGTTGGCGAGACCTCGCCTGGTTGGCATGCTTCAGGATTGTTACACCAGGGCATGCCATCTGCTGGAGCCCGCCCATCCTGCCGCCCATCTTCTCAATCCGAAGAGGCAAAACTTCATTTACTTTCAGTCTCCGGAATGCACCGATCAATAGAAGAAGGTGGCGGAGATGACACTCGAGTACATCTACACGCAGACGGGCTTCGACCGGCGGGGAGAGAGGTACAGGTTGGTCCGTCAGCAGTTGTACGACTTCCACGTGCGCGGGCCGAGGTATGATTGGGGCGGAGATGCAGGCACTGCGGACGAGGACACGTGCGAGGGGCTGGATGTGACACAGGCCATTGCTGATTGGTGGGTTTTGCACGGCGGTTGTGCCCCTGAGCTTTGTACCATCCCCACGCGTCTGATGTACACCTGGGTTTGCGCCTCTCCTGCGGATAGGAACTGGGCGTTGCACGAGCGGATCCACGAGAAGCGCGGCAACGGGTTGGAATTCAAGAAGTTGACTGACATGGTGGAGATGTGCACGAACAAGAAGCTTCTGACGTGTAGACAGAGGAGGAGGGGACTTGTCCTACCATGAGGTGATCTCGAGGAGGGGTTGGACTACGTCCCGGAGCCGCGCAGGTCAGGTACTCTGCCGCCGGGGACACTGACGAACGAGGAGATAAGGCGCCAGGCGCGCAAGATGCAGCGTGCCTCGACGGTCCGCCACTCGCCTTCGGTTCAGACTGTGTTCGGCCGTCGTGCAGCTCATATCCAGCTGTACGACGAGGAGATCGAGTACGAGCCACCCACGGACCCGCAAGCTGCAGACGAGATGGAGGTTGAGGCATGGACGGACCCGGAGGACTTGGAGCAGGGAGGCAGTGACACACCTGACGCTGCTGAGGACTCAGGTCGGGAGAGTGATCATGGGGCTGGCAGTGAGATGCGGTCGCAGGATCGGCATAGCCATTGTGAGCCCGCTGGCCTGAGCCTGCCCTTGACGAGGGCGAAGACTGCGGCTGAGAGAGGGCGCAAGCAGTCACAGGTTGCGCGATCATCGAGCAAGGACGACAGAGATGATGACGGAGATGTCGCCGACGATGAGGACTCCGACGACGAGTATATGGTTGATGGAGAGCATCCAGATCCTGCGGACGAGCACGGGTTCGATGGCGGCGACGACGGTGGGCCCTATGACGACGGGGCGAGCGGCGCGTGCCTGGTTACTCCTGGCCCCAGTGTGGTAGGCGGGCGCGTTGGCAGCGTGCAGGGATGTGGTTTGGATGTGCCGCAGGGATCGATTCCCTCTATTATATTCAGGGACGACTTCGACATTGGAGGTCCACCCACTTCAGATTCCAGGCACGGCGGGGTGCGTGATCGGACACCGGCGAGCGATATTGCACACCACATAGGGTCAGTTTTCGGTGGTGCGAGTTCGGGGATGTTGACAGAGGCTGCTACAGCGACAGGCGAGCGAGAGGAGGGCACACTTGGTGACGACGTTATGCCTGCTCGAGACGTTGCCAGGAGGCTAGACATGGACCCCGAGGACGTGATTGAGGAGGAGCGGTTGACACGGATGGTGTCGGGGTGTGCCACGATACAGCGGCTTGGGTTGGAGCAGGATAGGACCAGGGCGAGGGAGATAGGGTGTATTGTGGAGGAGGTCACTGTCGCCAGATTGGCAGAAGAGTGTGCACACGGTCGTTATGCAAATGATGCAGATGGTGGAGTACTCCACGTGGGGGGACAGGAGGTCGATCGTGCAGACGGGGACGAGGAGGACACGAGGATAGGGTTGGGTGACACACCTGGTCACAGCGACACGCGACTCCCCACTGGTGATGAGGAGGATGGGGGCGAGGATGTGGCTACGACAGATGCAGGGGGGTTGCTTGGGTGTGATCGCACGGAGTTGGAGGGGCAGGCAGATAGAGTACTTGTTGGCGTTGCCGAAATGGAGGATGTGGTTGCAGATTGCAACAAGGATGTGGTTGTAGATCACACTGAGGATGGTCCTGTCGCGGTGGATGATGTGGTTGCTCATCGCATTGAGGAGGACCGACAGGTGGATGGGGCAGTTGTCGCTGCCCCCGTTGAGGCACGCATGCCCACCATGTCCCCGCTCGAGCGCCACACTGTCGGGATTGATCCAGTGATGGGCAGGAGCAGGCATATATCGAAGAGGCTTTGGAATGTTGTGCCTTCTTTTGCTTTTGTGCCTGTTAGTCCACCAGCACCCTCTGGGGTATCGGGGGATATTGGGAGGTCCATGGAGATGGCCGACCTGTTCGAGCAATTGACAGGTCAGAGGGTTATTGAGCACGGAGGGGTCATGGGGAGCAGGGTCAGTTGCTGCGGAGACACGACCGGCATGTGCAGGGGCGCTGAGTGGACGAGGAGGTGAGTCTGGTGGCAGTGTTGTTGGCGGGGGAGGTGATCGTACAGTTGTCGGTGGTCGGTCGTGCCTTTCAGGTGGGAGTGTTGGTGGGGGAAAGGCTTCTGCAGCAGCGGCGACGGCAGGAGGGCGCGGGCATGTGCAGGGTTCTCCATCACCTTCATCGAAGCAGAAGGGGAAGTCCGTATCGTGGCGCGGCATCAACAGGGTCACCCGCAAACTCAAGGATTCTATGCCTGGGGTTACGGGTGAGAGGAGGGATCGTGAAGGGAGGTTGCCAGAGATGTTTGCGGATGCAGCAGGCTGGGTACGGAAGGGAGATAGGTTGGAGCATCCTGGTGCCAGGTCGTCGTGCGTTGCAGAGCGACGGGGCAACACGATGGTTGCACCGCCGTCACAACCGCCCACAGCAGGTGCGGCACATCGCGATGGTCATCGACGTCCGAAAGGGCGACCGTCCACACGTGCTTTGTCGGCTGCCCGACTTCCCCCCTCATTGCTTGATGATGCCCCTGATCCCGCGACATTGCAGAGCAGCCGTGGGGCTTGTCTGTCAACTGCACACAGGATACTCGGGGAGGAGCCGCGACGTCAGACAACGACAGGACCGGGCAGTCGTCGAGCTGCTGGGGGCTGCACGGAGGATTCCACGACAGATAAGGTGCCCATGCCTAAGGGTAGGAAGACGTATACAACCCTGACTGACATTTTGGGACGTTTTGCTGCACATGGTGCAGAGAGAGAGGCAGAGAGGATGGCAGCCGGAGCAGGTGGCAGTCACGCGTTGTCTGCGTCACAGCATTCAGGGGAGGGAGACGAGACGGCGGCGACGGTGCCACACAGGCGGCGAGAGCGCATCATCAACAACGACGACACAAACGACGGGAAGTCCGATGCGCCATAGACTCGGACTTCGCTGTCGCGCCGATGATGTTTTTCAACAGTTTTGTATGTCTTTCTTCATTTAGTGTTTTAGAGGTTCCGTTCTTCTTGTTGTTTTCAGCATTGCATGTTTCAGTTATTTCTTCTTTTATAATATTTCCTCTTTTGTAGTGTGTTTTCCCTTTGTATTGACGGTACTGTGCGACTCCGTGCTTCCAGAACGATGTTCATTACTTTGGTTACTTGGTACTTCTGTTGTTCACTTTTTCTTACTGTAGCCTTTGTGTTTGTCTATGTCAGTTTGTTCTACTATCTTGAACTCAGAGTTGTGTTCTGATGATTGCAGTTTCATGTATTTAATGTTCATTTGTGAATTTCGTCGGGACGAGGGGAAGTTGCTTTTACTGAGGGGTATGTGGGAATGTGGGAGGAAGGGTTACTTGGGCTTAATGAGGGGGGTCTGGTGCGTTGGTGCCACTTGGTGAGGGGTGTAGGTGCTGGGGGGCGGTGGGGCCGATGTGGTGTAACGGTCAGGGTTGTGTTTTGGGCATGGGGGGTTTGGGTGGCGGAAGGGATTCGGGTGGGTGCGTGGGTGCTACGTGGTGAGGGGTGTAGCTGATGTAGGATTCGGGCCTGAAAGGGGGCAATGGGCGGGGTTGTGTTTTGGGGTAAGGGGTGTCGCGAGAGAAGGGGGGGTTTGGGCATAGGAGGTTCGGGTGGTGGTAGGGCGGTGGCCCGGTGGGTGGAGGGCGGGTATAGGTGCTATGCGGGGTGTCACGGACACCCCACAATTTTATTTTTTTTTCCCCACTTCGTGACGCTTCCCCTGCAGGGCCCTGCACCAAACAACCCCCCCCCCACCCCCCCCCCATCCTTTTTTATTTTTTTATACTCATCCAAATATCCTTTTTTTTTTTTTTTTTTTTTTTTTTTTTTTTTTTTTTTTTCATATTTGAAGGTACGGGGGTGTAGAAGGACCCCGCCCCCCCCCCCTCCCGCCCCGATCACAACCACACCGCCGTCCACGTGGGTGGAAATGACGTGAACGGCCGTTCACGGTTTTCAGGCCCGGTGATCGGCCGGTCACATTCATGTGACCGGTGCCGGTCACGTTCACGGGACCGGCACTGCTCAAGAATATCTTTCTATTCCTGAGAAAGAGCCTGTGTCATGGGTTGCAGGTTGCCGAAACTTTTTTGTCCACTCCTTGTCCCTTTGCGTTCGCACTTTGCTTCTCTGATCTCGGCGTCACTTCTCCCCCATCATTTGTCTCTTCCGATGACCCCATCCTTCTCACTGTTCTCTGTCCTCTATTCTTTCGGGTGAAAAACCACCTCCCACGCTCCTCACCCTCTCGAGAGCTCTCAGAAATCTCTCCTTGCAGGTACTTCAGAAGTTCGTCAGCAGCATGGTCATCCAATGACTTCGCCTCTTCTTTCCCCTTCTCTTTGGGGGTCCTCGATCTGGCTGCCAGTGCCATCTGTATGTCATTACGAATTTCCGCTCTGGAGTGATGCATTTCCCTTTCTACGGTAGAGATGATCCGTAGCTCAGTCTCCTCGTTGAGTCTTCTCAACTCTGTTTACCTGCATTCTTGTTCCTGTCGAAGCCTCCTCTGTTCCTCTTCTCTTCTCACCTTTTCTTCCTCTTCCCGCTTCTTAATATCCATTTTCTCTTGTTCCTATGTCAGCTTCATCTGCATCCATTCCTTCATAGTCTTCACTTCATCTTCAAGCTCACGCCTATTCTGCCAGTACCTGATGTTATTAGGAAATGAGCCCTGCTGCTGCTGCTGCTGGGGAGTGCCTGTGCTACCTCCAGCGGGGTAGTCCCTTGCAAAGTGGCCAGTTTGTCCACAGTTGAACTAGCCCCTGTTGCCACCACTGTTCCCCATTCCATCTCCCCTGTTCGGCGTCGACATTGCACTTATCTTCTTGTCTTGGTTTATTACCGCTAATATCTGCCTCCGCTCTTCTAACAGCGTCTTCTGCCACTCAAATTCGTCTACTTCCGGTCACGCTTATCAACATCACTACCAATATCTAACCACCCCAATGTCGATGTAGCCACCAATGTAAGTGTCGCCTCTCACTCGGTTGCTACACTTCCATAAAGATAGAAGACACGCAATGGCCAATTGTCCTTTACAAGCAAATCAGTATATTTCAAACAAGCATCGGCGTGTACACATGCTCAGAAAAACGCGAGCACATTCCTCTACGTTTCAACCGGGTGCGCTCCGGTCTCATCAGGAGGCATGCCACATACCCATAAAAGGGCCTTTACCCGATGCAGCCCCTGATCGAAGGAAACAACATATTGGGGTACCTTGCCAGAGCCCAGTTCGTGAAAGCAAGTCAAAAGGCATGATCTCTGAGTCAAAGGTCACATCCGTACTAAAGCAAAAGGCATTGTCACAGGTCATGGTTGTGCCCCTGGACGAACAGTTGCAATATCTGACTCACATCCATTCATCCGGGGGGTATGTAACTCATGTCTATTCACGTAGAGATGTGTCTGTACGTGCAGTCAGTGTGTCTGTTCGTACAATGAAAGTGTCTGTTCGTGTAAAAGATGTGTCTCTCTAAAGGATAGTCAAAGGGTTTCAGTCCCAGTTTGGATTCAAGTCAGGGAGGAAGTCTAGGTTCAGATTAGGAGTCCGAAATCAAGGCCTGGAGGCAGCCGCAGCAGCAACCCTTGAAGGAAAAAGGTCTGGGACACATATGCAGCGACTGGTACTGGGAAAGGACCCAAGACAGACAAGATTCAGCCCTCGTTTGGGAAGACCAGCACTAAAAGAATCGAGGCTGCATCCCCACACGACATATCTTCCACTGGCATTGATGCGTGGAAGAGCTGCGACACTTGTGCGCTAGCTGGCTGGACAGGCGCTGGCTGAAGTAGACCTGCGCTAGGAAGAAGGGAGGTTGGGCGCTGACTGCAGGGAAGCCATAGCTGCGCCAACCATGTTAGTAGTAGAGTAGTAGTTAGTAGGACATCGGTGAGTGGCATTCAAAGTAGATCTTCGTAGGTGAGAGTATACATGCAGAGTGAAGAGAGAGAACTAAGACACAGTTCTAGAGAGAGAGAGAGAGAAGACAGGAGGTAATCTGGATATGGTGGACACTTACCTGTTGCGCCACACTTGAGATCTGAAGGAGGACGCTGGTAGAGCCAGGTTCCATGCAGTTGTTTGAAAAGGGAGACTTACCTTTTGTTGGCGCTGATCTCTGGAACTCGTGATACTCTTTGTATTCAATGACATTGATAATATAAGTTGCGCTACTGGTTCTTATCTCATCTCTATCTGGTTTTGTGTGAGACCACTTTGCACGTGTGATGACATGTATGCATGTGATGTGACGCTCACAAGCAAGCTGTGAACAGTGAGGTTCCTTGCAATTCTGGTATCGGAGTAGATACTTGTTGTACTCACTGCGCTGGCATGAGTAAGGCCGGCGAGAAGCAAGAGAGACCGCCAACTTGGTTGACTGTGCTGGCGATGGTGGAAGGAGTGGTGGACAGGGATATGAGAGGGGAGTAGGCCGAAGAGGAAGGGGCAGGAGGTTACTTACCTTGGAGTGCGGAGCGACGAGGAGACTTCATCAACGAGCGCTGCCAAAGAGAGAAGCATCCCTTTACCCCTTACCTGGTTGCATGTGTGTGTGTTCTCTTCTCCTTATCCTCTTTGGGGTCGCTGCTGCTGCTGCTGTCAAAACGGGTCACAAGGTCTGGAGTCTGGATGGTCGAAGTCAAAGGAACTTATTATGTTGGAGTCTAGAGTGTGTAGAGGATCAAAGTCTTTCTCTTCTCCAACCCTCTAGTCTGGAGTCTGCGTAGTAGTTCAGATAGGAGTATGGCAGGTTGCTATATCAGATACAAGTAAGGTATCAAGTCTAATCAAACTGGGCAAAGATAAGTGTGATGAAGTGAGACCCAGGCATGTGATCAAGTGATTACTCCCAAGTCCACCTGCGCAAAAGGACAGCAGACTAAGTTAGCATAAGGAGATAAAAGAGAAATACATAGAAGAAAGTGATCAAATCCCAACCAGACAGTAAGCAGCAGAAGGCATCAATCGGACCTTTGACCGGTAGTATTATTCTGATCAGTTCGACATTGAATTTGAAGGCAAGCAGCGAGAGAGAAAAAAAAGTGTATTATTGTATTTAAGTTTAAAATTCGTTATATTTGAACAGTGACACCCAGAGTTCAAAAAAAAAAAAAAAGACAAAGCAAAGTGTTCTAAGTCCATCCACATCCACAGACAGTAAGTTGAGACTCAGTTGGAGAACGTACCTGGTGGGACCTGCGGAGGGTACCTTGTGCTAAGTCCCGCCATGGTGGACGATTTCCCTATGCAGGGCTTGATGGCCCTTTCCGTACTGTTGGGCCCACGGTTCCAAATGATGTTTCCCCTGGGCTTCGGGAGGGTATGCACCTCCCGCATGATGATGAGATGAGGAGCAGTGAAGCCAGGGCCCACACCTGCTG